GAGAGAGAGAGAAACAGCATGAGAGGGGAGAGGGTCAGAGGGAGAAGCAGGCTCCCCGCTGAGCTGGGAGCCCGATGCGGGACTCGATCCCAGGACTCCGGGATCATGACCTGAGCAAAGGCAGTCGCTTAACCAACTGAGCCACCCAGGCGCCCAGTTTTTATTATTTTCAAGTATGTAGTTGAAAGAGAATCAGACAGTGTTTAGTAGAGGTCCTTAGGGCTTTAAAGAATTACGAATTCTGCTAAATTTTGACAAGAAGTTTTTAATTTAATTAGTCTTAAAATCACAGTTGTCTTCAAAGGTAGAGATTTGAAGATGAGGTGTAGGAGTCTCTTGGACTAAGTGTAGAGTAAAAACAAGTCTTTCATCATCACTGAGAGATGAATAAACTGTTTTTTTTTTTTTAAAGATTATTTATTTGAGAGAGAGAGAATGAGAGAGAGCACATGAGAGGGGGGAGGGTCAGAGGGAGAAGCAGACTCCCTGCTGAGCAGGGAGCACGATGCGGGACTCGATCCAGGGACTCGATCCTGGGACTCCAGGATCATGACCTGAGCCGAAGGCAGTCGCTCAACCAACTGAGCCACCCAGGCGCCCTAAACTGCTTTCTGATTTTAGTCCAGTAGAGGACACAAATAAAAAATAAAATGTAGTAAGTGGTAATAGAGGGGCTCTGTTGTCATCAGCTTCCCTTGGGGTGTCAAAAGTCACCAAGGAAGTGACTTTTGACCTAGGTAAAAGAATAAGACTTTTCAATAGAAAGTAGATCACAGAAGAGGAAGAAGGACAGGTACCTGATACTATGTGAAATCCAAAGGCAGTGGATTTCAAACTTTAAACCATGACCCCCAGTAAGAAATGTTTTATATTGTGACCCATTATGCATAGGAGGGGGAATGGTTAAGAACTCTGGCTCCGCAGCCAGAGTGCTTGGACTCTAAGACCATACTTTTTGGCAAGTTATCTTCTTCTCTGCCTCAGTCTCCCCTTTGAAAATGAGGACAATAATATATCTACCTAATAGGATCTCTGTAAGGATTGAATGAGTTACTGAAAAAAAAAAAGTTATTGCTTTAAAGAGTGCCTGATACAAAGGTGCTTAACTGTGTTGTGTTGGCTATTTTCAATAACAGAAACAGATTCCACAAAACAAAACTTACCTTTGTTATTTACTTTTATTTTCTATTCTGTTCTATATCATTAATGGAGGGGAGCAGTTAAGACTCACGGGGGTACAACTTGTAGTTTGAAAAACTCAGTACTAAAAACACCTGGGAGGTAAGTGATAAAAAGACGACACATTGAAGAAACTGAGTTCATCATTCGTCATGGTGGGGATTGAGTGGTGAAAGTGGAAACTTGGAGAAGAGTACCCAGCAGGAATGGAGACAGTAAGTTGGAGACCAATCGTATAAGCTCTTGCACACATACCCAGTGAGGGGGGTGAGAGTGTGGAAATGGAAGTGCCTCCTGAGTCACCTCTCCAGGCTCATGTGCGGTAGTCCTTCACGCTTCAAATGCACTGAAAAACCAGGGTAGTTTGACCTGCTCTGGGATATCCCTAATTCTGCTGTATTGTGGAATGAAGTGGTGGAATTGGCTTTCTTTTTTTTCTTCTTCTTTTTTTTTTTAAGATTTTATTTATTTGAGAGAGAGAGCAAGAGGGAAGGTCAGAGGGAGAGGGAGAAGCTGACTCCCCACTGAGCAGGGGGCCAGACAGGGGACTTGATGCCAGGACCCTGAGATCATGACCTGAGCTGAAGGCAGATGCTTAAGCGACTGAGCCACCCAGGTGTCCCATGGCTTCTCTGTCAATAAACACATCTCTCTTGAAGAAGAGTCCTTTTGGGTTATTGTATTTATTATTTTTTTAAGTTGAAATACAATTAACACACGATGTCACATTCATTTTAGGTGGACATGTAGTGATTTGCCAGCTCTATACATTATGCTGTGCTTACCACAAGTGCAGCTACTATCTGTCACCACACAACAATGCCATTGACTATATTCCCTGTATTATACCTTTTATCCTTGTGACTTACTCATTCCCTAACCAGAAACTTCTATCTCTCACTCCCCTTCACCCATTTTGCCTGTCCCTCCACCTCTTCCCTTCTGGCAACCATCAGTTTGTTCCAGGGAGAGGTTTTGTTTTTTTTTAATCCTTTTTTGTAAATAAACTCTTTTTTTTTTCTTTTAAGATTTTTTGAGAGGGCGCCTGGGTGGCTCAGTTGGTTAAGCGACTGCCTTCGGCTCAGGTCATGATCCTGGAGTCCCGGGATCGAGTCCCGCATCGGGCT